TTACATCTAAAATATCTAATTAAGCTAACTAATATCCTAACTAATGCAACACACGTGAGCTGGACGGCAAGGCAGGTAGGCTCGTGATTTATCCTCCAGCTGATCCATTGGCTTCAACAAGAAGCATAGTCTAAAAATACTGAGATATGGAACTTTAACTCGTGGTGAATTCGTTCTTGAGCCTTATACACTGAGTAGGAAGACTTCTGACAATACTGAGATATGGAACATTGTTAACATGTTTGGTACATTGGATTGGTAGAGGGATATGATTAAGGAAGAAAGTGAATTTAGATTTTTTATGTTTTGTGTAACGATGAATATGCCACCACGACACGAGAATGTACAATTTGTTATTACTTTCTTGGAGTATCCAATCAAATCCCAAGGTGTATACATATTTAATATATTTTTGTGTCTAATGACGTCCATGCATATTGGTTTATAAAAATTTATCGTGAACAAAAAAAGAGGAACGTGACAAATTTTCAAATTCAGTAAAAATATAGGTAAGAATAATTGAACTGCACAAACTCAAGATTTTGGTTCTATCTCATCAGTTTAGTAATATTATACTTTGATGATGTATAAAAATTTATTGTGAACTAAAAAGAGATGCGTGAAAATTAAGGTAAGAATAAAATTGAACTTCACGAACTCAGAAGATTTTTGTTCTATCTCATCAGTTTAGTAAATTTTATAATTTGATGATGTATAAAAATTTATCGTGAACAAAAAAAGAGATGGATGACAACATTTTCGAGTTCAATCAACGTATCAAACATATTCATTCTTAATATTTTAGCATTTATCTAGTTAGCTCTAACCTCTTGTTAACATTGTCTATTTTTTTAGTATTTACAAATTACAATATATAGGGTCGCCTTAATGGTCCTATAAGAAGTGTTTTCCTTTGTCGTTGCACTTTTCCTTAGGAGTGTCCAAAAGTTTCGAATCGAACTCGAACCGAACTGAATCGAATTGAGCGGTTCTTCATAAATTAAATACCCGAACGGGTACCCGAATCGAGAACCAATGGGTTTGGGTCGAATCTCGGGTCTAGACTAAGAACCGAAACTAAATAATTTTTTATTATATTGAATTAATTAAATTATTTTATTTTTTTTAAACAAATTAGCAAATTAATTAAATAAATCAGATTATTTCATAATTTTAATTTTAAAGCCCAAATCATTTTTAAAACCCATTAGCCCATTTTAATTTGAAGCAAATGAATATACTTTATGTAGTGTTGCNAATAAATTAAATTATTTCATAATTTTAAAGCTCAAATTATTTTTAAAGCCCATTAGCTCATTTTAATTTGAAACAAATGAATATAGTGGTAATTACAAGTAACCTACTTTTCAATATCCAAATTCAAAATTTAGATTTCAAGTTTTAATGTTAAAAAATCAGATGTTTTATATATTATACGTAAAGATTTTTAAAGTTTAATTAAATATTAATAATAATATTATAAAAATTAATATATATACACCCCACTCCCTACCCAAATTTCAAACCTTAAAGGCTAAATCAAGTCTCTCTCTCTCTCTCTCTCTCTCTCTCTCTCTCTCTCTCACAGCTCCTCTTTCTCACCTGCGGCGACTGCACAAATCGGAACTGCGCCTCTCACTCCCCTCTCTCTATCTCTCTCTGTCTCTCAGTCATCTCTTTCTCTCAACCGAAACAGCGGCGTAGCGGCGTCACCACCGAAACAATCCCCCATCTCTCACTCATCTAGCCGTCTTCTCTCTTCACGCCGGCGACGTCGCTGAAGACTGATTTCACTGAAAAAGATAAAAAAAAATGGCAATTTTTTTTCAAAAAACTGAGCAAAGCTGCACCGATCGCATTCGAAAGCACCAATTTTCGCATCTCCTTTGGAGCTCTTGCCATGATTTCCATGGGCTTCTCGTATTTTGATGTGGTTTGTGGCTGATTTGTGGTAGTAGGTAGCGGTTGTGGTGCGGTTGGTCTGTAAAGTAATGGGGTTGAAAATGGTGGTTGTTTTGCCAATG